AAATTTTGCGACATGCGCATGTCACGGACTTCCGTCCTTTACCTATAATTAAGGATTCCCGACGGAATCTGATACATCAAGACAATAAAACTCTTGTTCCAGTGATCGCTTCTTCTTAGTAGCCGTCGTCAGCCAGTCATACCCAGATCCAAGCTGCGTCCCACCCATCCTCAAACTCGCGACCTCTATCATAAGTATCTAACGCCTTAACTATTGGGCAACGAGCTCGTTGCTATGTCGATTTACGTCGGGAATATTGGCGCTCATTGATGATTGACCGCCAATGGAACTATTCTGTCCCGCTCCGCCTGTAGGCTCAAAAGAGGCCTTGTAAGTCGTAGCAGATAGTACTGTAGGAAAATAATATATCCGACCATGGTCATTTCAGTTATGGCCTGGTAAATCTGAAGAGCTATTTGGGTAAAGATAAGACACGCCCAACTAGCCACCGCTAGCCTATCAGCCATGATTAGCTAGCCCTTCCAAAGTTCTGCTTTGCAAATATCCTGGCTTTGAACTGGGGTTTATTTGGTCATTAAGCGGTTGTTAGTTTAGTGACTTATCGCTCGGTCATAGCTTCTGTCGAGGATAGTACGTATCGTTGCTCGCTGCGACTCAACCTAGATCGGTCTAAGGCAGGCAAGTGGTACAATAGTAGTGTTGGGTGCAGGCCTGATGGACTCGTTACCACGCTGTCCTGATGACTCACCCTACGGTGCACTATCGATCGGCACAGGCCGCGCACGTTGTGAGATTACAGAAACCGCCGACCGGGATTAGTACTCTGCCCTACCACTAGGAACGAATCGACAAAACCAGTCGGAATGTGATCCCCCAAGAGCACAATTTGATTCGTCTAATCTTTTAGACTTTGCTTGCTATAAGTAAGGCGTACCAGGTACGGTAAAAGACTTTTACTTTTGCGTTCTTCTTGTTGTGTTATTCTTTGGGGACTTACACAAGTCGTAATTGAGCGGCGATAACTCTGCGTTTTGGCAACATTTGCAACAAGTGGAGCCTCAGGGTACTTAATGTTTGATGGTTAAAGGCGTTTGGCGGGATTTGAACCCGCGCATCAGAGAAGGCCTTTGCCGGAGGCAATTTACCTACAAACGCCCGGCCTAGCGCCACCAATTTAATCACACTTGGGTCTATATTACTCGCCCAACTTAACCGCCCATATGGAATCCGCCAATACGGAACAGCAAGCTGACTGCCCAAGCAGGATT